ATCAAAACCACGTACATGAGGTATTGTACCAATATTCCTCCCCCCGAGTAAATGACATGCTCGAGAGTTTTTTTAACTGAAATTTTAGTTACCACTTTAGAATTACCAGATTAGTGTATTAAAAAGGAAAAGAAAATGAATCAGTACCTAAACTTGTAGGCCCGACGTTCCAAAAACTGGACAGTCTATGTGTGATCCTTGGGTTTACTTGTGCAGTTCTGTGGTGTGTATTGAAATTTTCTTTGTAAGTTTGGTTGCTACGTTGAGTAAGTCACATCCCCATAATTTGCTGTCCTGAATGATACTCCTAGTTTGGGTTTTACCCAAGGAAGAAAAGGTACATTTTTCTCGCACTGGAGCATATAATCTTTTGAGAAGCTACTTTGATTTTGTAGGAGGGGCTAAACCAACACAATTTTAACTCATTACTGACATGTCCTTTGAGGGATTTTTATAATTTGGAGAAAATATGGTTGACATGTTAAATAGTTCATCTATGGGGATTGGGTTTGATGAATTTCTCATTGAGGTATGGTCTAAGAATCCAACTGATCCAAAAAAAACAAAGTAGAGTCTAAGAATCATAAAAAAAAATAAGAATCATGATAGGGATATTAGTTTTGAGATTGGGGGCAATCACCTGCTCCTTTGTATCAGTCTATTCATGTTCTGTAAATTGCCTCTTTTCTGCACTTGACATGTCTTTTTCCTAGCTTATCCTACAAGACTTGTTCATATAAGCTATGATTTGTTGATGTCATGCAATAAATTCTTAGTGAACAAACATATGTTTTTTGATACTCGCACTCTAATTTTAAGTGGAGTGTTACGGAATGAATATGGTGGAGTTGTCATTTTCTGTATTTTAACTGTTCTTTCTTGCATTGTTGAATGTTCTATTAATTTTTTTTCATGTAATGCGCCCATTGTATATAATCTAAACGTGCACAGGCCTGACCCTCTTGGCATATAACCTAAACTTGTGCTGGTTACAGCATGTTGTGTTGCTTTTGGTAAAGATGGCCCTGATATGGGGTCACTTTGAGATGAATGGGAAACATAATTATTTTGCCTTCTTCCCTGAGAGATGCATGCATCTTGTGGCCCTTCTCGAATCTATTTCTAAGGTTCCGCGCTGGTAAAATTGGTTAGGAATTTATGATCTAAAGTTGTGTAGGGTAAGTATGGTCAATAAAGAATTACAGATGAATGGGTTGTTAGGGTCTTGGGTACAATGTCTCAGTTTTGTGGAGAAGAAGTTATTCCATGGTGGCGAAGTTTTAAAACCTTCATTACGTTCAGGGTTCAGCACAAGATTAGAGCTAGATTTTGGATTCATGATTGATGGGCTGTGCGTCTACACCCAGTTTCTTGTCTCGCTTGCCTTTGGCTCTAGCCAGAAACACGGGGACAAAATGATAGGAATCGTGCAAGAACATGATGATTTAGCCCCCATGATTAAGAAGTAACATGAGGGCTTTAACAATGGAGGAGTTGGAACTTTTGTTGGGGTCTTGGAAGGGTTTTCATCCCAATCAGTGGGCTTCACAAGAGGATGTGGAAGTGGTACAGGTTCCTTTGTCAAATTGTTCCATATAAGTCCTTAGTGGAGATTAAAAAAAAAAATTGAAGATAAAAAGAAAAAGGTTGTTTGCATTATATTGGGCTTCTTCTTTGCCTTGTGTCATTCCTTTCACTTAGTTTTCTACCTTGTTGAGAATCGAGATCCTCACCACAAACCTCTTCCAAAACAGAAGAATTCAAACCCCATATTTTTTCGCAGCTTGTTTGAACCAATGTTTGAAAAGTCGGTCGACTTCTAAAAAATCGGCCGACTAACTCAGACTCGAACACTGGCCAAGCCCGAGTAGGCACAATTTCATAGGCCATGTATCGTGGCATTCCCCTACAGTGCACTAATCGACTGATTTACTGTACAAATCGGCCATTTTATATACTAATTGGCCAATTTGTACATTAATCGGTGATTTATTCAAAAATTGGTGGATTTCTATATTGTTGTAGTACATGAGTGTAAATAGCATTTCGCAAGTTGAATATGGATTTTGCAAGCCTCTACTCTCTTTTTTCAACTGTTTTGAGCTCCATTGTTGAGGTTTTTTCTCTTCCCAATGCTGGGAAGAGATGTAAAGAGAATCTCCATCATGTAGATCGAGATTTTTGTACCGTAGGGGGCCTATAAGACTCCCAAGCACTGTGTACCAGCTGCAGGCCAGCTCTCTCTCTCTCTTTCTCTCTCTCTCTCTCTCTCTCCTCCCCCCTCTCCCCGGGCACAATG